TCTTTCTTTCTTTCTTTCTTTCTTTCTTTCTTTCTTTCTTTCTTTCTTTCTTTCTTTCTTTCTTTCTTTCTTTCTTTCTTCCTTCCTTCCTTCCTTTCATCATCATCATCATCATCATCATCATCTTCTTCTTCTTCCTCTTCACTTCCTCCTTCTCCTTTTTTTTGCTATGTTACTACATAGTATACAAAAGTAAAAGGAGGCCACACAGGATTGACTTTTTGTTTAAGGGTTACCAGGGCCAAAGAATCCATCACCTGTTGCCTAACCTGCTGGGTACAAGTCTGTCTACCAATAGCAAGGTTGGTTATAGAACAGAAAATACTTCTAGAAAATACTTTCAACTCTTTATGCTTGGCAGACCCTGACAGACCTGGGGATCCAATGGCAGAGCCTTTGAGAAACTTGTATCTTCTCAACATTAAGATGAAGCACTGGAGAGGGATGTTTGGTCAAAGGGGGCTTGAAAGTTCACAGCGAGGTGAAGAAAAGATTTCCATTCTTTGTTGTGTTCCAGGGCAAGGAGACAACTTGTTTCATGGAATGATCGAGGCCTTTCCCTCAGAGTGGCCATGAGGGACAAAGAGGAAAGGGGCCCACTATGAAGATGCTTGCAGCTTGTGCCCCAACATCTGTTACTGAAAATGTAGAAAAATTTGGTGGACTTAAAACAATATCCAAACTAAGTCAATAAATACTTTGATATTCAATTACTTCCCTGAGAAGGTGGACACAGGGGAGAACAGCAAAAAAAAAATATGCTGGAAAAATGGTTTGAGAATTAGAAATGAAAGAGACCAAAGACTTTCAGATAATTCAGGAGCCTCATGTCTGCATATCATGAATATTTTGTTTAAGAAGAATTGGAACAGGTTGGAATTAGCCAGCATGGATATATATCAGAAGGAAATGAAATTGATTATATATTAACAGACATGAAATTACTCATTGCTGATGTGGGAATCACTCATGAATTAGCTCTTTCAGTGAAATCATCTACTAATTAAAGCAATGGACAAAATTAGCACCATACTGGAAGAAAGAATAAAGATGAGAAGACACTGAATACAATTATGACAACTCCATCCCAACCTCTTTAAGTGAACTGTTTTCTATTCAAAATGGGAAAAGGATAAAAATAAAGTTTTTGACTTGATTATCTCTATTTCTAAGAGAAATATGGTTAATGTAAACCAATAACCACAAGGAGGCAATTAAAAGATCCTAGAGAAAGGCAACTTGAGTGGTGAAAGGTGAAGCCATGCTCCATGAGAATTAGACATAGCGAATGGACATATAGAATGAAATATAGAATTGAACATATAGAATGTTTGGCCTGGAGAAGAAAGGAGTGTGTGTGTGTGTGTGTGTGTGTGTGTGTGTGTGTGTGAAATCATGACTTCAAATACCTTTACGGTAGAAAAGGGATTTGAATTTTTCAGAGGGTAGAACCAGGAACTAAAGGGGGTAGAAGTAAAAAAGGTGCAACTTAAGGTGAAAAACATGCCAACAATTAGAGTTATTTAAAAACTGAATGGGAAGTAGGGAGTTTCAGATCATTAGAAGTCTTCAAACAGAGGTTAGGTGACCATTTGTCTACCTAGATGAGTAACCTTTGCCATGGTGCCTAGCATACAGTATGTACTGAATAAATGTTTGTTGATTCTTTGATGGTAGAAGAGAAGATTCTTGTTCAGGTATAAGTTAGATACCAGGTGATCTTGAAGTTTCTTCCTAGCTCTGAGACCCCATTCTCTGTTATTGCTGGAAGAAAATAAGACTGATTTTCTGTTTCTGAAAAATCTGTTTTCATTTCTGAAATTGTTCACACCTTTTTTTTTTCTCAACATGATGTTCCACAATATGTTTAATGTTGCTGATTCCTATTTACTTACTTTCCACAAGTTTGTTTCTCTCCACTGTACGATGTGTTTGTTGATGTACGGTGACATATTTTTGTTTGTGTGTAGGCATGCCTGGCCCTTTTGTTTTAGCAAATGCATCTTTTTTTCCCCATTAAGTATGGGACTGATTGGTCAACTTCAAGTTTCTCCATATGGCTTTACTGAGGCATTTTAATCATGTACTAAGATGGTCCTTTATAATAGTACTCTACTCCTGGAAAAATCAAGACATTTTCAACCACTCCATACATGAGAAGTGGGGAATAAAAATAATAACGGCCATTTATATAGCCCTCTATCTAAATGATCTCATTTTATCCCTAAAACAACTCTTTGATGTAGAAATTACTGGTATGATGATCTCCATTTTATAGAAGAAATGGCACAGTACTGGCTTATCAGTTATTTAGAGCCAGGAGGAATTTTAGATGTCATCCAATCCAGCCCCTTCGTTTTACAGATTAGGAAATTGAAGGCAAAGAAGTTTAGTGTCCTGACAAGGTCACACAGTAAGTGGAAAAGCTGGGATCGAAAAATAGATTTTCCAACTCTGTTCAATGCATCTGTTCAATGCTTTCTCCACTCCACCACCACTGCTTTCAGGCATAGGACACATGATGAACCTCAAAAGTATTAAAATAATGATCTACTGGGTCTTGTAGTTCTTGTGATTCTTCTGCTATTTCCTCCATGTTGTGTTTTTTCTTCATATTAAAAAGAGACTTTAATACTTTGATGGGTCTGTAATACAGTCAATGTCAGTACCCCCTTCCATGGTGCAGATTATAATGCACCTACTCCTTGTCTGTGTCTTCCCATAAAGTTTCCCATTATGAATCCACTCAATGTTCTGGATATGTTGCTCTAGAACCCTTGACATGTTGAGAGAACCAAGAAAGTATGGGTTCTGCCTGTTTGTCATCCATTGCTCTTTTCATTTGTTACATTGTCTCTGCATATTTGCCCAAATCTTATCCAATGATCCTTCCACTATTTAGTTCTGGGCCTGGCTCATCGCCCTCCTCTACTGTCTGTCGTGACAAATGAATAGGACAACAAAGAGATGAAAAATGAATGTGAGAATGAATGACTGGAGAAATGCATAATAGTCATTAAGTTCTCCCTAGGTGCCAAGCACTGTGCTAAGTGCTGGGGATACAAATGTAGATGTAAAGACAATGTCTGTTCTCAAGAACACTTCACTGTATAGTCATAGGGAAGGACAACACATGCACAGCTACTTTGGTCCAGGAAGTTACAGGTTGGTGATCAGGACCAGAGGAATCATTTGATATACCCCTTCTAGGAACAATAGCAGAGTTGATTTGATCATGTTCCAGAAATGGAGAGGTGGTGGAGGAAGGGTATGGTATAACCATAGAGGCCAGGAATGTTTTTGTGTTTTTATTATTCTTTGTATCCTCAGTGCCTGGCACAGAATAAGCATCTAATAAATGTTGACTTGAGAAGATGGTGGAAGAGTAGGAAGTGAAGTGAAGCATAACCAGGGAGATTGAAGGGCTAATGCCTATGGCTTTTGGTCTGGGAAGCAGCTATTTTCTTCATCAATGACAGTAGAGCCATCATATCTGGACTGTAATATCACTGTAGAATCTTAGGGTTGGAAGAGCCTTTTGGTATCATCAAGTCCAATGTATCCCTGAACAACAATCCCCTCTATAACACAATTGGCAAGTGTTCATTCAAAATTCTCTGAACTACCTCAAGTGAGTGGCACCCACTGACTTGGGAGGAAACTTATTCCAGAATCCCTGGGAAAAGGACAGTTGGAACAACTGAACAGAGAGCCGTGCACTCAAACAAGGTCTGTGCTGGAGGTGGTAATTTTGAGGACATTGGAGGATTCAATCTCAAGATGTAAAAGAATAATTTAAAAAGATAGTGTGTTTTTTATTTGGGGAGAGGTTAAAAAAGTTCAAAGGAAAGTAATAAAAGGACTTGTGCTAACTTTCCAATGAAATATTTTTGGACTACTGCTACTTAATCTCTTTGGTGAATTTATTTATAACCAGGCCCAAACACTTTCAAAGTCCTGAGTGACATACCAATTGGAAACAAGGCACATGAATTCCCTTCCTATGAAAGTGATATATTTCAACTAGACCCTACGACTTCACATTTTCTTGTAATACATAACACATTTTTTTGAGGAAAAAGCGACTTTCTAAGGAAACAAGATCCTTAACACAAAACTGTAGTCTGTTTAGTTTTTAGAAGTTTCTCTCTCTCTCTTTCTCTGTCTCTCTCTCTCTCTCTTTCCTTCCCTCCCCCCTCTCCCTCCCTCTGCCTTTCCCTTTCCTTCTCCCTCCCCCTCCCTTTTCTTCTCCCCCCTCTCCCTTTCTCTCTTCTCTCTCTCCTTCCCTCCCTCTCCTTTCCTCCCTTCCTCCCTCTCCCACTCTCTATATGTACATATAAAAATATATAAATATATATATGTTTATAACAAGTATATATGTAGATGGCTAGTTATAAATACATAAATAAATTAGCTAGATAGATTGACCAATGTGCCCCAAATGTGATGCAAACTTACCTTTACATGACTTAATGTAAATGTGATTTTCTCAAGCTGGTAGAGTGCAGATGGCTTTGCACTAATTGAGACAGACACAATTGAGGAGATCACAATTTCCTCCTGTTCAGGACTCTTGTCACTCTCTGTTTCCTGGGAGTCACTCTGAGATGATGAAAGCAAAGCTCCAATACTCTTATAATGCAAAAACACAACTGCAATGGTGCCTGTTAAACAAATAGCATATTTGGTGGACTTTTCCATAGAAAACAACATATGAGATCTTGACAGAAGCCTAATATATGTTGTAATTTTTATTTAAACATGCAAAGTCGTACGGAATATTTTGAGGAAATGGAAGAGCTTCAAACTGAAAAAAATGTCTTCTTGATTTAGCTATGTACATCTTGTAGCCTTCCAGTAAGATGTAAGTATCTTGAGGACGGGAACTGACTTTCATTTTTGTCTTTGTCTCTCCATTGCCTAATATAGTGTCTTGAATAAAGCAAATATTTAATCAAGGCTTATTGAATTGAACTGAATTGAATACAGCAGGCATTTACCTGGCATGCATACTAAAAAAGGGAAAAGCTGAAATAATTTATATATATTATATGTATTATATATATAATTTAAATTATCTGTATATTATATATTCAATATATATTATATATATGATTATAAATAAATCATCTTTTAAACATCTAAGATTAGGAGTTGGTATTCTTTTTATAAGGGGATTTTCCCTCTGAATTATATGCAGAAAATGTAGAAAATATTTTTATATAATTTCATGCCCAAATCCAGAATAAGGATGATTAATGTAAAGATAACTTGAAATTTGCGAGCAGGAAAACTATATATATGTAGGCTACTAGATGCACTTGCGTGTTTGATAAAGGAGGGGATTTTGGATAGAAATTGTCAAAGATTTTTATAATCTGAGAGTCAGAGAGTTTCCAGAAGTTACTTAGTTTGGTTTCCCAGTCATTGAAGGAATCTATTCTATATTCTTGACATGATTTAGGAAAGCCATGGTGTGTTCAAATATCTGAAGGTCTATTAATATGGAAGAGGAATTAGATCTATTATGTGTAACTTTGAAAGGTAGAACTATGATCAATGGGTGAAAATTACAGAGATAGGTTTCTGTTCAGAGTGAGGAAGACAAAGTTAATAACTTGAGCCATGCAAAATGGAATGCTTTGGAATGCATTGAGCTCCCTGTCACTGGAAATTGTCAAATGTAGGGTAGATGACCATTTCTCAAAGTGATTACATGAGAAATTCCTGCATTGGATTAAAAGTTAGACTATATCATCTCTAAGGCAAATTTCCATGATTCTATGATTCTAATCTTGTATTCTAAACATGCAGTCTTCCTGTGATGGGGAATTTACTACTTTGTAAGGCAGCACATTCCATCTGCATCCCTCTAATTCCATTTACTAATCCTAGTCCTAAACTCTGGAGCAGCATAAAATTAGTCTAATCCATTTATCCACATGCCAGTCCCTTAAGCATCTTAGCATTAGTCTTATCTTTTCCAGGCTAAGCACACCTAATTCCTTCAATGGCTATTCACTTAACACCATTTCTAGAAGTTTCACTATCTTGCTGAATTATGTCTAGATATTGACTAGTTTGTTGTGATCCCTGTGAAAAATATGCCTGAACTGGATCTAATACTATCAAACAATCTGACCAGTGCATTTTGGAGTGAAAATCTTTACTAGTATTGTAGACTATTAGACATAGAAATGGTCCTTGAAATTGTTTAGGTGAAATACTTTATTTTGAGAATTTTTGTTTTTCAGTCATTTTTCAGCCATGTCACGATTCTTCATGACCTCATTTGGGATTTTCTTGGTAAAGATACTGGAATGGTTTGCATTCCTTCTCCAGCTCATTTTACAGATGAAGAAACTGAGGCCAACAGGGTTAAGTGACTTGTCCAGGGTCATACAGCTAATAAGTGTCTGAGGCTAGATTTGAACTCAGAAGACAAGTCTCCTGCCCTGGTACTCTATCCCCTGCTCCACCTAGTTGCCTATTTTAAGGATAAAGGAAACTAAAGGTCAAAGAGGTTGTCATTTGTTCAAGGTCAAACAAGTGGGAAAACTGGGACCCAAATCCAGATCACCTTGCTTTCAGGTCTGTGCTTTTTCCACTGAAGCATTTGTAATAAGTATAGTATATCTGTATTAAGGAAATCAATGATTGCCTAGACTTCTTCAGTATCCACAACATGTTCATGTTGAGTTTGTGACTAATTAAAATCCCCAGAACTTTTCATATGAATTGCTTTAAAGTCAGATCATCGCCATCTTATATTGTGAGATGATTTTGAGGCTGCTGTCTTGATTTTTGTTTTTATATTCCTAGCCCCTAGAAGAGCCTGACACATAACAGGTGCTTAATAAAATGTGTGTTGGTTAACTGATTCATTCTTGTTAAATTTCATTTATTGGTTTTGGTCCATCATTATAATCTATTGAGATAATTTAAAATCTGGTCATTAATTGAAAGTGACCTCTCCATTTTATGCCATCTGCAAATTTTGTGAGCATGCCTTCTTTCATGCAACTGAATGAAAAATATTGAATAGAACAGGGTCAAAACCACATGAGCATGGCTGGACAACAGTCTCAATCAGCTAGAAATCCACCTAACTGGCATATTACACCATACACTCAGTCAATTTACTCCTTAAAATGTTTGTTCTACTATTTCCCAATGGAAGAGCATTCTATTTGATGGAGAAAATGAAATCAAAACAACAGTTAAGTACCTTTATTTTTTCTTGGTATCTGTAAACATTATATCTTTGTTTGTTTGTTTTTTTTTGGGGGGATTAGGCAATGGGGTTAAATGACTTGCTCAGGGTCACACAGCTAGTAAGTGTCAATCGTCTGAGGCCAGATTTGAAGTCAGGTCTTCCTAACTCCAGAACCGGTGCTCTATCCACTGTGCCATCTAGCTGCCCCCATAAACATTATATCTTCCTCTCTAATCTAAAATACTATTTTGCTGTTATTAGCATTTTTTAATATATATGACAATCTTGTGAATAATTATCTTGATGCATGTTCCAATTGATTTACTTTTTAATTCAACATGTTCAGTTCAACAAATATATAATTGCCTACTATATGATGTATATGTATACATTTATATCTGTATACAATATGGTTATACATCTATGTATCTATGTATCTATTTATCTAATTAAGTTCTGTACTCTGCAAAGAATAGTTACAGATATGTTGTTGTTGTTCTGTTGTATCTGACTCTTTGTGATCTCATTTGGGGTTTTCTTGGCAGATACTAGACTACTTTGCCATTTCCTTCTCCAGCTCATTTGACTGATGAGTAAACTGAGACAAATAAGGTTAAGTGATTTGCCCAGGATCAGACAGCTAGAAAGTATCTTGAAGCCAGATTTGAACCCAGGATGATGAGTCTTCTTGACTCCCGACCCGTATCTCAGTCTATTGTACTGCTTAGCTGCCCGATTTCTTGATATAGATTTTCTGAATTAGAAATAGTCAACCAGAATGTGTTAAGAATACACACACACACACAATTTAATACTTATTCAGCTAAGTATTCTGGACACTATACATATACACACATAAACACACCTACAATTTGGTCCACACCTGTGATTTCACTGAAATAAGAAGAATTCCCGCAAATAATTTATACCAGTCTCTCCTCTACAACTTAAAGTCTTAGAGTGTTGTCAAGGGCACTAAGAGGTTGATTAAGTGACATGATCAGGGTCACACAGTTAGTATATATCAAGACCTCTTGACTCTGAGGCCACCATTTCTGTGACATAACTAATGAGGTTCCTTTCAGTTGAACAGATATTTATTAAACACTATGTGCGTGATACGACTCTCATAAAAGATAAAACACAAACAAAAGGAGGCCGTTCTCCTACCATTAGAATCATATTCATCTTTTCTCTTTGGGTAGATTTTTATATAATTTCCTTCCATGTTCACATGAGGATGAATATGTTTCATATGATGAGAATCAAAAGCAAATAATTTGAGACCTGAAAAGAAGCAACACAACTCTTATATTTATTTAAAATAGTGCAATGAATAAAACTTTTACACAGTTAGAAAATGACCCCACATTATTATGTTTCAATACATGACCTATGTCAATTTCAATGAAGACAATTAGCAGACTTGGATATTAATAGTCAGGTCCATATACATGCTGTACCAAAAGTCTCAGTGCAGTTATATGCATTAATAGCTTATCGTTGTTGTTGTTTTTCAGTTGCGTCTGACTCTTCGTGATCCCATTTGGGGCTTTCTGGGCAAATATACTGGAGTGGTTTGCCATTTCCTTCTCCAGCTCATTTTATAGATGAGGAAACTGAAGCAAATAGGGGTAAGTGTCTTTCTCAGGGTCACAAAACTAGTAAGTATCTGAGGCCAGATTTGAACTCAGGAAGATGAGTCTTCTTGACTCTAAGCCTGTCACTTTATCCATTGCACCATCTAGCTGCCCCATAGTAACTTATTAGCTATCAATTATTAGTTATTATAAGCATTATAATAACTAAAATAATTTTAGGATATTAAAGATCAAAACTGCAATGAAATTTTTGGGACACCCTGTATTTGTGGCTAAAATTTTTAGTTTTTTCCCCCATGAAATTCCACTTTAAATTTACCCTGTACCAAATGAGATAAGGATACATGCATTTTGAATGGGTTGTAAATCACAATGACTAAAATCCTTATGAAGAAATTTAATGTTTCTGGATTTCAAAGTAAGTCAAGCAGATGGATTTGAATCATAGCTCTGAGATTATTTTCTAAATAAAATTGGGCCAGGCAGTTCTGTGGCCCTAATTTGTGTAAAAGTGGAGATTGAAAAAAGAAAGTATTCTAATCCTATGATTCACCGACCTTAATACTCAGATGCTAAGGCCTCCATAGATGGCACAAGAACACAAAATAATGAGTAAATAGATTCTTATTTCAATTGAAGAATATTTCACATAGTCAATCACAACAGAATTATTATATTGAAATTGAGGTTTTTTTCTATCATACTTACAATAATACAATCTTTCACTTCACATTAATGGAAAGTCCTAATAATATTGAAATACCTAAATATGTTTGTGAACCCATTGATGTATGTGTTCCCTCCAACGATACTGATTGCAACCAATCTGCTAATTCTGTGTTAGTTGTTCATGTCAGGCTCCCCAAATCCTGGTACTGTGTGCTACAGAATATATGTGCTACAGAACTTTTTTTTTTTTCTGACATTGAAAGGATATCCATGGAATGCTCAGTATGTGTACTCATTACCTCTTCCTCATGTCCTCATGGACATGAACAGTCTATCTTCATCAACCATATATTTCTCTGATGACATTCTTTATTTCTGTTATTTTGTTAGGCATTGCTACTAGCTAACATCTACTATACATCTCTCTATTTCTCTGAGTGATACTCATCTATAATTTTTCATCAACTATACTATTCCATAACTAGCAACCATACAATATTGACATGATATCAATGTTTAAAAGATGAGACTTTTTGGGGTGTGGGGTAGGGAAAGTCAAGGAGTTTTGCCATTTTTAGGAGGCAGTCCAACCTATTCTGTTTAACTCTGGTCTAATTCATTGCCCATTAATACTATTTGTCCAAGATTTTACATATATACATACCTACACACATGCATATACAACACATGCATACACACACACACACATATATACACACATACATGGTATCCTAAAAGTCTTAATACAATTTTAAATTATTAAAGCTAAAGTAAAACTTTTATTAAAACTCCATTGCAATTTTTGGGACAACCTGCACACACTATACACATACATGAGCGTATATGTGTACTTGTATATATTGTGTATATACACATATATAGGTTGTGTTTTTGACTACCTATATATACTTACACAATATAATTGTACATATATGCATATATGTTTATGCATAATTATATCTATACAGAACTATAACTATAGAAATGTATATATATATATTTTAGCTGTAGATACACACATAAAGATAACTCTAGTGCTTCTTCATACATATATGCATGCATACATAATACATACATATATAAATACATACATATACACATATTGATACACAATATACACACAAATAGATCTACATAGCATAATGACTGAGCTCTGTAAGTGGGCACATACAGACATATATGTGTATCTGCATGTGTACATATAGGAACATAATGATGGCTGAGATACACTGTCCATCTAATTAGATATCATAATCTGAACAGGCATAATTAATTAACTTGATTTTTTTCTGGTGGATAGTCATATCATCAGGCTAAACACTTTGAATGATCAGATCTCACCTAAGAGATCTTCATTCTTCTGGAATGTGATGTAACCAGAATGATATCATCTGAAAACAGCACCATCTGGAGGATCTTGCCATCCCAAAGGAATCATTCTTCATCCTGAACTCAACACTATATTTTCTCCATTGCAGTGGTGAACAATACATTTGGGGAACATATATTTCCTCATTTTATTCCTCACCTGTTATTAATCATCAAAGGGTCATCAAACAAGTTATATCTATTGTTCTATCTTCCAAAGAATCTTAAATCATTTTAGGGTGTGTGTGTGTGTGTGTGTGTGTATGTGTGTGTGAAATTAGACATAAAAGTTGGTGGTTCACATGGCTGCCTTCGTTGAGAATAAATGTGGTCCAAAATCTTTTCTATGCCTTTCATATCTTTTTATCCTTCAAATACCTTGTGTATCAATTCCTGAATGCTCTTACGTTATATCACCTTCAGCACAGATCTCATCTATTTATACCTGGTTTAATCCAGTTGCTTTTTTCATCTTCATTCCTTTGAATGTCAGTTTTACCTGTTCTATGAGCACATATAGGAGTACAATTAGGTCCAAGTGTAATGGCTTTACAATTCTTTGGTGGTGGAGAAAGTTTGATATAATACTAATGTAATTATAAAAATAAAACAATAATTATCTGTATTTATATTTCTAAAGTGAATTGCATTATCCTCAGAATAATTCATTGGGTTAAGGAGCTTGAATAGTATTTTCTCTGTTTTAAAGATTAGAAAACTGAGGGACATAGAAGTTAAATGATATCTCAAACTCAAATGGTTAGTAAACGGTGAAACCAAAATATGAACCCAAATCTTCTGAAATAGAATTGATTGCTATTTATACTATGTCAAATTGCCTCAATATTGACATGTATCAGGGTATGTATAATACAGAAGAACTCAGTGACTGTCTCAGAAATTTGACTAATTCACTGGAATGCTCCCTAAAGGCATTTTAGGGCTAATCCCATATTTCACAGTCTCTATTCAAGCGCATGAGAATCTAGAAAAGGAAGGATCATTGATTATTATTGTTTAAATGTCTCACTAATTCTAAAATTTGCATTCTCAAATAAGAAGTATATGCGTGGGAAAGGGGAATGCTTTGGATAAAGCATTTCTTGATTAATTAGAAAATCCCTAGAAAATGAACAAGGGGAGAAAGTACATCTTCCCTGGTATGGGTAGCATGAGATGTCAGACTATAGTGTCAAAGTCAAAGAGTAGCAGGGGATGAGAGAATTAGTTAGAAGGGAAGAAATAGGTTTATATTCATTGATCAATATATTTTTAACATTAGAAAATGCTGAAGTAATTTTTGATTGCTGATATAGAAATGTTTTGTGTGACTGCACATGTATAATGGGTATCATATCACCTGCCTTTTCAATGGGTGTGGGAAGGGCTAGAGAAAGGGAAACAATTTGGAATTTAAAATAAAAATCATGTTAAAAATAAAATTAAAACATTAAAATGCTGCTATAATTTTTTAGGAAATATTAGCATCATACACAAATAGTGTAAATCTAAAATTTCTGCTATTTTTTTTATCTGAGAAGAAAATGAAACCATATTTCAAGACCAGAGTGTCACATAAGGAGTGATTTCTTTCCTTACCCAAGTCGCTTGAATTAATCTCTAACTGGGTTGTTTTTTTGAAGTTCTGGGACATGCTTAGCATGGTCTGCTCCGTTGTGTGCATCAGTTTAGTGAGACTTGTTCTTCTATTATCTGCAGACAGCTTGTCCCAAATTGTAATTTTATCCTTTTGAACCAAATTGTTTACGGCGTTAACAAAAACCTATTGGCAGGAGAAACATGGTTTTTTTTTTTTTTAGTGTTGGAGTCTCTCGCTATTCACGGGAGCAGAGGAAAATGTAATCACAAGCCTCGGGCTACTTACATTAATAGTTGTATTAGTAAATGCTTCCTTCTCAGAGATATTGCTACTCATATAACTCAAGGATGGAGAAGATGCAGACAGTGCTTCAACATTGGTAAGCACATCGATGGGGAAAAGTGCTCGCCCAGAATTTTCGTAGATTTCTTGCAGCAGATTTAAGGGCTCCTTTATGTTCTTAATCTGGGAAGAAAAGAGGGGCAGCAATGACAGAAGGAAGAAAATCAATATATAGCACTGAATAATAATTTTTTTTAAAGATGAAAACATAACAGATTTTTTTTCCTGGAAATGTTCTGTTGACTTGGGTAGTGGTGTATAGACACCCATTTGTAATATGCATGTTCATACACACGTGTATAAACATATACACATACACACATATACAGAAAGATACATATATGTATATACATGTGTATGTGTGTGTGTATAAGACCTGTGATTTCCTTGGTGTAGGAAGCTCCTGTTGAGGAATTTCCTCTATAATGCAGATTGGCACCTTCTTTATGACTTAGTCTTAAAAGTTTAAGTCCCTGTGTAGGTAGGATTTGAACACAAGTCTTCCTGGATTCAATAGTAGCTCTCTATCTATTCTGTATAGTTTTTTTCTCTGTAAATAATGTAATAGTGGTAGATGCAAACCCTGATTTGGACCCAGGGATTAGTTATGTAATCTGACCAAATAACTTGAACAGAGGTAGTTATTTTGGGAAATAACAGCAATCTTTTCAGGATAGATACACTGGTGGACAGTTCTATATCAATGTGGGTTACAGTGGAAGGGCTCACCAGTCAGAGCACCTGAGTTCTGCCTACTAACTATGTGGCCTTGGTTAGGTCATATAATTTCCTTGGGCCTCAGTTTCCTAATCTCTAAAAAGAGATGGTTGAATGAGATGACCTTTTATGTCCCTTCCCATAGCTCTAAATTTATAATCCTCCTCTAGACACCTGATCAGAGATGTCAGAAACTTCTGTTGATACAACTCCTTCCACCAGTGTTTATCAGTACAAGGTCAATGACTTATGAATCTTAGAGTTATCTGAAACTTTGAGTAATTTACCCATGGTCATAGCTAGTGCTCATCAGAAGAAAGACTTTGACCCACACTTTCCTGACTCCAAATCTGGTTATTCATGCTACCAAAGCTGATACATGGTACCATGAGGTCTCTCTGGTAGGTAGTGCACAAAAGCAAACAATTTATTTTGTAGTTCTTCTTTCCTGCTGTGTGATATATATATATATATATATGTATATATATATACATATATATACACACACACATATATATATTCCAATCTACTTTAATTAATTGATTATCAAAATAGGAAACCATTTTTCTAAATAATAAGCACACAACTAAATATTAAATAATAAATTAATCATCAAATTAGACTTTTGAATCTAACTCAGGAAGCCTTTTTAAGTTTGATGATAGGTGAACTCTGTTTTTGATTCTATCCAAATGCCCATGGCTGAGATTAACTGATTCAATCACTTTAAAAACTGATTGTCTTATGAATATATTCATTTATTCCACTTTTTCATTGAAATTTGCACCTTTAAGGGAAAATATGGTTACATGATGTTTCTGGCTTGGATTTACAAAGGTCTAGGTTCAAGTCCTGCTTCAGACTCTTATTAGCTATGTGACCTTGGGCAAGTCCCTTAACATTTCTGTGCCTTATTTTCCTCATTTGTACAATGAAGGAGTTGGATTAGATCGTTTTCAAGTTTCCTTCTAAGTGTAAATCAATTATCCTATGAACTTAACAAGTACTCCTTTGAATGGGACAAAATAAAGCAGGCTTTTGCTATTTTACTTGTCAGCTGTCCCCACTTTTTTATTGAGTACATTTTCCATCATGCCAAATAATAAATAACAAAGTACAATTAAATGTGGAAAAGACCCTATCTTCTCTATTAACACTAAACAACAGGAACAGTTTGGTTATTTTCTAGTTCATCAAATTTTTGATACTACCCAAACAAATTATAGGAAATTAACAAGCTGATTAAACCTTAGATTTAAATAAGTGAGCTACTTCCAATGATCTAGAAGTCTAACTGCAGGCTCCTATTCCTAAAAAAAATCATTTTGAAAGCATATTTACAGAAACAAAAGTGTCAAATTCAAATAAACCATGATCTTAAAAGCTTATGCATAAACCATTCTACTTACTTCAGTTAAAGTTTTGTTAATATTTGCAGCAATGCAGACATCATCTAAATGACAGTTTGCCTTCACATTTTCTGTAGAAAAAGAAAATTCACCATCTGGTAACTTTGTTTTATATACTACAAATGGTTTATTGAATAATTCAATTCCCAGTTATTAAGTAGCATATATTCTTACTAGATATATTTGAATAATTTCCAATGATATATGGATCCTTTCCTCAAACTATTAAAAACAAAACAAAAGCACATTTCTCAACATGTCTGATTTTTTTCTTGTGTTCAGAATAATCTTATTTTCATCCAGAAACTGACTTAAGGTACTGTGCATGTCAATTACATCTTCATATAGTTGTAATGACAATGCTTTGCTTTTCTTGTTGATGAACCTTATCAGGGCCCTAAGGAGCAGTGACGGCTTCTTTAGAAGAGGTCATTGTATCATAACACAGACACCTTTATAATATCATTTACCTTGGCAGTAAGTGCCATCACTTGGTTTAAATTGCAATTTTCCTGTGGATGGCTGATAACCTTCTTTGCAGGCACAGTGATACCCTCCATGCACGTTTTCACATTTAGCATGATCCCCACAGGCACCTGGGGTTGCTTCCCGACACTCATCTATATCTGCAAATATTGTGAGAAATTGAATTTTTTATTAAGTATTTACAGACTAACACCTTGCTACCTTGTTGATAATGGTACTGCATCCTGCTAGCCATTTCATAACAAAATTGTTTAAAAAACGTGAGGAAATAGAAAACCAAATGTAATGGGAACACATCTAAAAATGCTATCAAGGAGAAATGACAAAGTAACTTTAGCTGAGCACATAAAAAAAGCATTTGGTTTAAACAATCAGTTTTGATATGATGGTGAAAAATGTTTCAGAGACCAAATTCATGTGTGTATTTCTTTTCTCCTATAAACAAAGATTAAGCACAAAAAAGCATTTGGGTATTTAGGTGACTGAAATCAGTTGGAGGACATTCTTTGTATTTAAGGTATGCCTTTTAAAATTAATTTAATAAAGATTTGTTTCTTTAAAGAAATCTGTTTCTGTTATTTCTTTAATGATATCCAAAATGTAGTTCTTTCTGCGTATTACAAAAGCAATTACCACAATTCTTTTACTCAGTGACATGGGAAAAAATAAACAAGGGTCTTTCACATTAAAATTTTCTGAATCTGGTACTTCAAATATCAGTCAGGCACTTTAGCTAATGTCAAACACTGAAAAGTACCCCTTAAAATGTTTGCTTTATCTCATTCAAAACATTTCTTTATTTTTTCACCATGAGTTATTGCGAACATTAAATTAAGTTGCAATTTCATTATGTCACCATGTTGACTACAGTACACTCTTCTCTAAGATTACTTTGCAACTGCTTTTGTATGTATATAGGTTCTCCAGTCAGCTGCCAAAGTGATCATCTTAAAGCAGATCAGACCATGTTCTTGCGCTGTTCCATAAACTTCAGTGGCTCCCTATTACCCTCAGGATCAAATATAAAATCCTCTAAAAGCCCTTCATAATCTGTTCACTCTCAACCTTTCCATTCTTTTTCTTATTTTTAAAATAAATTTTATTCTATTTTCAGATCTGCATCCTTTCTTTCTAAACTCCCCTCACTCCCCTCAATTTTTCCTACTTTTCTTACACTCTACTTGGCTCCGTGACCTCTATGATCCAGTGACACTGACCTTCTTGCTGTTCCTCCATCTTCCAGTTCCATGACTTTTTACTCACTACATCTCCTCGAATATTCTCTTTTCTCAGCTCAACCTCTTGGCTTTTTTCAAGACTTGGCTCAAACCATACATTCTACAAGAAGCTTTTCTTCTTCCCCCAAATTGCTGGAAGCTTCCCCTTGAGATTTTCTACCATTTACATTCTATGTATCTTGTACACGTGCAGCTGAGTGGTACAGTTGTTAGAGTGCCAGGCCAGGAATCAGGAAGACTTATCTTCCCGAGTTCAAATCTGGCCTCAGACGCTTACTAGTTGTGTGACTCTAGTCAAGTCATTTAACTCTTTTCCTCAGTTTTCTCATTTATAACATGAGTTGGAGAAAGACACGGCAAAACAGTCTAGTATATTTTCCAAGAAAACCCCAAATGGGATCACAAAGAGTATGAACAAACAGAACTGATGAAACAACAAGCACCACTTAGTACACATATAGTTGTTTGCATGTTGTCTCCCTCATTAGACCATGTGCTCCTTGAGGGCAGGGGATGAGCCTATACCTTTCTTTGTATCCCTAGAACTTAGCATTGCACTTGTATTAAGTCTCTAATAAATGCTTGTTGCCTGACTTGTGTATTCATTCATATGTACATGTTGTCTCCCACATTAGAATTAAACTTCTTAAGCACAGAGACTGTTTCATTTTTGTCTTTGTATCTCCAGCACTAAATTAGGACCTGACACTTACTCAGTGCTTGTTGGTGGATTTGTATCCTCAGTGCCTCAATAGCACTTGGTACACCATAGGCACTTAATAAATACTTGTTTGATTAATTGCCCTACTTATTTCAGTGGGCTAGCAATTTCTTCACCAATGCAGAAAACATCCCCTCTGCAAGTCAGAAGATGGTCTTCATGAGTTGCTCTGGCTGTGAAAGTTCAATACTTGCAGACTTGCCTTTTTGGCCTTCCATATGTTTGGTCCTCAATTGGTTGAAAGACCCATACTCCTATTCCATTCCATAATCTTTAAAGTAGCTATTATTTTCTAGACACTGTTCTGGGCCCTGTGGATACAAAGACATATCCTCACATATTTTTTTGAATCCTTCATATTTATGACTTCTTAAAACACAATGATATTCTATTTTATCCATGGAACTCCATTATTTAGCCATTTCCCAATCAATAGAAAACTTCTGTTTCCAATTCTATGCTACTATAAAATACAACTATTAATATTTGGCAAATATGGGTCTCATTTCCTTTTTTGACTTCTTTAGAGTACCTGCTTAGTAATGGTATCCATGGGTCAAAGGATATGGATATTTTGTTCTTAGCTTAATTCCAAATTGTTTTTTAGAATGATTGGACTATTTCACAACCCAGTCAAAAGTATATTAATGTGCTCCCAACATTGACTGTTCCCATCTCTTGAAATTGCCAATTTAATAATTATTTTGATTTATGTTACATTGTTATTTGTAGTAATCTTATGTTTAGCAGTTTGCATTTCTTTTTTTAAATGTAAATTTTTTAAAAAAATATTTTATTTTTAATTTATGGAATAAAACATGCATTTCCATAATGTAGCATAATAAAAAAGATGATTGACAACAATTTGTTCATATCCCTTGACCACTTATTCATTGGGAAATGACTTTTGGTCTCATATTTTTTTTAGTTCCTTATATATCTTAGACACTATGTATTTATTGATGCTATGTGATACAAAGATTTTTTCCTATTTGACATTTTTTCTCTTATCCTAATTGCATTGCATTGATTTTATTTGTGTAAAAGCTTTTCAATTTCATACAACCCAAACTATCTATTTTATTTCCTATGATCACCTCCATTTATTTTTTAAATGGTCATAGCTATGAAAGTTTACTGAACTTATCTTCTTCTAAATTTTTAATGCTGTGACTGTTAACATTTAGGTCATTTGCCCATTTTGAGCTTATTGAGGTAAATAGCATAAGATGATCTAAACCTAATTTCTGCCAAACTGCTTTCCAGTTTTCCTAGTATTTCTTGTTAAATAGGAAGTTCTTCTCTAAGCAACTTGTGCTTTGAGGTATATCATTCATTGAGTAATTGAGTTTTCTTGTACCTAAAACTTATTCTCCCTAAAAATTATCTCATATTTATTTGTAATATATCCCCAATAGAATAAAAGCTCCTCAAGGCCAGAGATTGTTCCCTTTGTGTCCAGCTCTAAGATTCTCTGAATGTCAGTCAGCTCCTCCTTTCCATTTCCTAGGCAGCAGCTCTATCAGAAGCCACCTACAATTCTCTTTTTCAGCTAGAGAAGAACACTCAACATCTTTCACTTGTCTGTGTGGTCAGATCAATTCCATTATTGCCAACTCAGTGCAGTTGCCCACTAACCTTTGTGCCTATGCAATATCACTAAACTTGAGACCCTAATGTAATTTTTTACTCTAGTTTATCTTTACTCTTTTCGTTAACTGGACTATCCCTTTGTGTGTACAACAATTTCATGGCTCTGTAGCCTACCTACACCTAGGCTAAATGTCACCAATAACTGAATTTCCTGGTGTTGTTTTCATTGTACTCACACCCAAATCAACTAGATATTTTCCAAAATTTGCAAAGAGAGAAATATAATCTAGCTTGATAGGCAGAAAAAGGAAAAGGAATAGAAACACAATGCTCATCGTATTCAGGACTTAACAGTATGACCTTTCTAGCAGATAGAGATTTTGTATGTGTGTGTGTGTGTGTGTGTGTGTGTGTGTGTGTATGTGTATGGGGGCATTGTAAAATAAATCTTGTTGTGTCATAAAATTAACCAGATTGTATGACTCTTTTGTTCAAAGGGCTAGAAGCATGATAGAAATCATTTCAATTCCTTCCATAGATATTATAGAAACACACACATGTATTCTATGTAAATAGAATACAACTTCATAGAATCAAATTTTATGATTTCATTAGAGTAGGGTATTTCTAATTCTAAGGGTCCATTCCTCTGGTGCTAAGCATTTATTAACAATCTTCTATGTGCTAAGTGCTTTATAATTATCATGTTATTTGATCCTCACAACAACCCTGGGAGGAAGATACTATTATTATCCCCATTTTACAGGTGAGGAGAGTGAGACTGACAGAGGTTAAGCAACTTGCCAAAGGTTACACAGTTAGTAAATGTCTGAGGCTGTATTTGAACTCTGAATGTCTTCCTGACTCCATTTCCAGTACTCTGTCCATTGTACCTTTTGGCTACCTCTATCTGAGAAACAGATATCTCTATCTATAGTCTCTATTTACAGCCTTATAAACTCATCTCAGATTGTATTCTTACAGTGTCCTGGAACACTGAGAGGTTACTTGATTTGCCTATCTGCTACATAGCTTTTGTTGTTGTTGTTAGGTCATGTCTGACTCTTCATGACCTCATGCACCACAGCATGCCAATACTATCCATGGGATTTTCTTGGCAAAGATATTGGAATGGTTTGTCATTTTCTTCTCCAGTGGATTAAGGAAAACAGAGGTTAAATGACTTGTCTAGGGTCACATAGCCAATAAGCATCTGAGGACAGATTTGAATTCAGGTCTTCCTGACTCCAAGCCCAGCACTCTATTCACTGAGCAACCTAACTCTCTGTTACATAGCTAGTATGACCCAGAATCCAGGATTTAAAGCCAGTTCTTGACTCTCAGGCTAATGATGCCACTCTGCCTGTCTTATTCTATTGGAGTTTTTCATTTCTTATTTACAGTGGATTCTGATGACTATAATTATTAGACCTATCAAGCTTATGCATCTACCAACATTTGAAATTAGCTGAAATCCAGCGAAAAGAGGCATACTTGGATATGGTGGTAATAGATGTATTTCTTTGTTCAAATTCCCTGAGGATGACCAAAGTACACAAAGAAAATTACTACAGGATTGAAAAAGAGA